GAAGTGCCTGCTGTGTGCCTGGTGCTGGATAGAGAGACGGGAACAGGAGCTGCTCTTCATTCCTAAAGATTGCATGGTCTAGTAGCGGGGAGAGGCACATAAAGAAGCAATTAGGATGAGTGTGTTAAGGGCTACAGAAGTACTGTGGAAGAGCAGGAAGGATGGAGTAAGTGACAGGCATTCAGGACTGCCTCTAGTCCTTTTTGAAAGAATGGGGGTGGGGTGGGGGAGTACACAGAACATAGTCCACACTCCACCTGGGGGAATCTGTATAATCTTTTTAGAAATGGTGATGAGTTGAATCTTAAAGGATGTGCAAAAGTTGGCCAGATGCCAAATATCCATACAGGTATTCCAGAAAGAGGGAACAAGAGCTAGAGCAGTGAGCAGGCCTGGCAGGTGAAGGGGTGTACAGTGAGCAAGTCAGTGTGGCTCTGATTGGGGTGTGGAGGGGAACACCAGGGCAAAGACTGAGGGAAGGCTGAGCCATGTGCCCAAAGACCCAGTAGACCGTGGGATGGCCAGGGAGCTGACTTTTATTGGGCACCTTCAATATTGTTTTACTAATAAGAAAACTGAGACTCAGAGAACTAGACTAGCTTGCCCAACTTGTACAGGATTAAACCTCAAGTCTATCTTTGCTCTTTTTTCCTGCATTGTGTCGATAATGAACCTGGACATCATGCTATTGGTTAATGATTTTCAGACAATTTGCAAATACAATCTTAACCCCAAACTCTGATATATAGTGTTACCTGAACAGATCTGGTTAATATCTTCACAGTACCATGTACGATTGCTATAAGTAAAAAGCTGACATCAGAACATTACTATTAATGAAAACGCATATTGTATTTGGATTTCACCAGTTTTTGCACTATTGCCTTCTTTCTGTTCCAAGGTCCAGTCCAGGGTACCACATTGCATTTAGTTGCAATAACTTTCTTTTGACAAGCACTAATACATGAAGTCAGGAGTTGTGCTGCATTCTCAAATACTCAGTTTTGTGATTCACAATCAGATACTGCCTTGTACACTTAGAAGAAATCCTAACTAGCAGGGTGAGCAGCCTGCTACCAAATACAGTTGGTATAATTATCTGATAATGCAGCCCAAAGAAGAATCCAAGAATCCACCCCAACAAACTCGATTTGGCCTGTCTTACTCAGCTTGGGCTGTCATACAAAATATCAAAGAGGGGACTTAAACAACTCACATTTATTTTTTCATAGCTCCAGTTGCTAGAAGTCCCAGAAGAAGATGTCAGCCAATTTGGTTCCTACTGTGGACTCTTCCTGGCTTATAGTGTTACCTGAACACTATTTTCATAGGCAGCTAGCTAGTACTTTAAGTATAACATAAGCTGAACAGATCTGGTTGTATTTATTAACATAAATTTCTTCCATATTTAAATGTATGGCACTTAGGAAACCTACTAATAAAAACAGTGGCTTTCTTTTTAATAAACTCTTTTATTTTAAAATAATTTTAGATTTACAATGAAGTTGCAATGACATTACAGAGGGGGTCCATGCTCAGTGTCCTTACTTGGCCTTTTGTGTATGTGCAGGGTAGGGGGGAGTTTATCTCTTTCTATAGGATCAGGGATCCACCCTTAAGACCTTATTTAACCTTGATTACCTCCTAAAGACCTCACCTCCAAATACAGTCAAATTGAGGGTTAGGGCTTCAACATGAAATTGGGGATGGGAGACACAATTCAGTCCATAGCATAGTCCAAAGGCTGAAATTATGTAAAATCTTTACAATTCAATCATGGCACAATATAGTACCGAAACTTTCTCCATTTTGTTCGATATTTTTATGCAAGTAAAAATGTATTACTTTGTAAAACACTTGATACATACAAGAAAAAAATTTAGATTACATTTTAATATTCATTAAATACTAGTAAGTTAAAGAAAATATAGTGTTATCTGAACAGATGGTATAAAAGTAATGATGAGAAAAAATTTCAAAGTGGTTATCTTATAAAAGCTGTTACCAGACATTTGCAGGTGGTCATTAGATTGTACATAGGTGTTAAGAAGATATGGCATCCTTTAGAATAATTAGTTGTTACTGATGTGGGCTGTGAGTTCTAGAATGTACTTTTCCATACCAAGGTTATTTACTGTACTGAAATGATACAAGTACAGACACTTTACACAGAATAAGAAAACACTGGGGTTTGTTTTGCCTTTGCTGACATAGAAACTTAACTAGCTAACTTTACATCAACTAGTGCATAGTTGCCCTTCTTACTGTCACTCCAGTTACTTCACACAGGGTAGCATGTTACCTGTACTTCGCTGCAAATCAAGTAGGTCTGCAGTGTGTTGAACAAATGGCCATTGATACTCTGTTTTTAGTTTGGGTGGTGGGGTGAATGGTAATGCCATTAATCCAGAAAACTGGGAAAAGGAATAGATTCAATGGAAGGAGGGAGAGAGTTTGAAATATCTCTAGGAAATCGGGTAGAGATATTCAAATCATCTCTGGAATTTTAGAGAAAATAAGTAATATTCTAGAATAGCTGTAAGTCATCATTTGAAAGTAAATTGAAGAGATCTATTTTTTAATTAAAGAGGGTATACCATTGTATCAGTTAAGGGATAGAAAGATCAGTAAAGGGAAGAAATAATTTGGGCTTAAAACACTGCAAAATGAGTGACTAGTAGACTACAATGTTCATCTGGAGAACCTGTATTTAAGAACCTTTCAGGATAAGCCAGTCAAAGAAAGACAAGTATCACATGATCTCACTTATACGTGGAATCCAATGAACAAAATACACTGACGAACAAAACAGAAAAAGAAAAAAAAGAACCTTTCAGGGATATTTCATTGGAATATCTATTAATGTTCCAACATGTGATTTGATCAGTTGTGTTATTTTCAATTACTAAAGCATTGATTCAGTAATTTTACTTGGATGAAATTCTGTTATACTCAGTCCTTAGATTCTTTTTATTGTCCCCAACTTTATTGAAGAATCATTGATAAATGTAATTATATGTATTTAAAGTGTACAGTGTTATGATTTCATATACATATACATTGTGAAATGATTGCCCAAGTCAAGATAATTAAGACATCTATCACCTCATGTAATTACCTCTTTTTGTGTATATGGTGAGAGGACACTTAAGACCTCTCAAAAAAAAAAAAAAAAAAGATCTGCTCTCAGCAAATTTCAAGTATACAGTATCTTATTAGTAACTGTAGTCACCATGCTGTACCTTAGATCCTCAGAATGTATTCATCTTGTAACTAAAAGTATGTAACCTTTGACCAGCATCTCTCTATTCCCATCTTACCCACCAACCCCCCACCTCCAGCCCCTAGCAACCACCATTCTACTCTCTGTTTCTGTTTCTATGAAATGGGCTTTTTTTTTAAGATTTAACATATATATGATACCATACAGTACTTGTATTTCTCTGTCTGACTTATTTCATTTAGCATTATGCCCTCCAAGTTCATCCATGTTGTCACAAATGGCAGGATTTCCTTCCAACAGCCAAATAATATTCCTGTGTGTGTGTGTGTATGTAGTTTACATTTTTTAGCCATTCATTTGAGACACACACACACACACACACACACACACACGTATATCACATATTTTAATCTATTCATTCATCAGTGGACACTTGGGTTGTTTCCATGTCTTGGCTATTATGAATAATACTGAAATGAACATGTGCTGGGGCTGACCGGCAGACCCTGAGTGACGGATGAACGGATAGCTCTGACACACTTTTCTGTGAAAGAGAGGGCTAAGGCACTACTTGGCTATCACCACCAAATAGCCCTGTTCGCCTGCCTTCTTTGGCTTTTATTGTCATAACAGCTTGAACTAAAATTAATCTCTAGACACAATCAACAAGGTAAGCATCCTTGAGAAAGCACATGCTTCTACAAGGTCGAGTCTAAAAGACTAAACAGATCCCTTAGTAAAACACCCGGGGGATTTGACTTGTTTGGAAAAGTCAAGGTAGGGGCTGCTGCCTTTGGCAAGGTTTCCCCAGAGGCCCCCGACCTTTCGGAGAATCCTCCTTACAGACATTCCAACCAAGTCCCGTGCTTCTCCACAAACATGGGAATGCAGATATCTCTTAGAAGTATGGGTTCCATTTCCTTCTAATATATACCTAAAAGTGGGATTGCTGGATCATATGGTATTTCTATTTTTAATTTTTTGAGGAACCTTCATACTGTTTTCCATAGCAGCTGTATCAATTTACATTCCCACCAACAATGTACAAGGGATTCCTTTCCTCTACATCTTCACCAACATTTGCTATCTGTTGTCTTTTTTATAATAGCCACCATAACAGATGTGAAGTGATATAGAAATAAAGAAAGCAATCCCACTTACATTAACATCAAAAACAATAAAATACTTAGGAATAAACTTAAGGAGATGAAAGACCTATACACTGAAAACTGTAAGACTAATTTTTGGCAAGGGTGCCAAGAACACACAATGGGGAAAGGATAGTCTCTTTCAATAAAAGTTGGGCAAATTGTATAGCCTCGTGCAAAAGACCCCTGACTTACACTATGCATAAAAACAAACTCAAAATGAATTAAAGACTTAAAGAGTAAGACCTTGGGTTTGTAAGTATATAGTTCAACTGAAATAGTTATATCCTAAAGTACAAGTCATTCTTGACTCTAAACTTTAGAGTCTAAAGCTTCAGTTTTAGTATATAGTAAAATGTAGTTGTTTTTCATTGCTCTAATGTATTTTTTCCCTGCTACCAATTCTTACCTTTCATTTCACATTCCTATTTGACTTTAGAAGCTCATGGAAAAGTATCAGATAGTGTGGTCTTTCTGATAGTCTTTGGGGGAAAGAGCTGCCTCCATCTTCAGCTCTCCCTGGAAGCTCAAGCTGTTCATCAAAACTCTGCTGTCTGGGATGTTTCTAAGGCTGTGTAAACTCCTGTGGATTGGAGAAAGGTGCTCACAGGTCTGTTCTCTATTTGCAGGTGATCCCCATGCTTCCCAGGGCATTGTGTGAGGAACTGTGCAGCCTCAATCCCATGACTGACAAACTGACCTTCTCTGTGATCTGGACGCTGACTTCGGAGGGCAAGGTAACAACTTAGACTTGTGTCCATTCCACTCAGTGAGTCCCTGGTAAGTTCCTACTGTATGCCTCGCACTGGGCTGGAGTCCCATGGTGGTAGATGATGATGATATAGGAACAGCCACTATAGAGAAGAACATATAAGAGCTGCTGCCTCTGGAAAGCTCAGTCTGTTTGTTTATTTACTTACTTACTTTCCTTCCTCACCTGCAAATGAACACACAAGAGTAATGGCTGCTTCCCACATAATAGCCAGAATGAGATTTGAAGATGAATCTGAGTTGTGCCTTGTTTAGAATCCTCCTGTGGCTTCCCATTCTTTCCCATTGCAAGGCCTCCAGGGCCTCCCACTCCTGTTGACTCATTTTCATCAGACAGCAGTGGCCACAGCAGACCCACCCAGCAGAGCAAGGAGTCCCCCACCCTCTCTGCAGATTACAAAACAAAACACAACATCCAGTCCAGAGCCCAAGGCCAGAAGCACAGGGAGGTGTGTCCTCAAGCCAAGGCCATTGGAAAGTCAGTTGGACAGGATGTGCAGGGAGCCCTGTCTGCCATCATCTGATCTGATGGAGGCTCTCCCTATCTCTCCAGGTTACTGGAAAACAGGTGGGTGAGACCTTGGCAGTTCTCAGAGGTTTGGGGCTGTTCCTGGGAAATGTTGCCCAATACCTGCCCTGCCACTTCCAGGATTTCTTTATCTACAAGAACTTCTATCCCACTCACTGGGCTTTGTGAGGGGGAAGGGAGCAAAGAGATTGCCCAAAGAAGTCGGTTTAAAAATTCTAGTGAAACTCCTTCACCAAAGTCCTATGTGGTTGGAGGTCTCTGATGTATCATTGCCAAATATGTTCTCTCATACAGTGGGCTCCCTTTGCGTTTTGTTGATGGTTTCTTTTGCTGTGCAGAAGAGACGGTCTTGACTCCATTGTATGCTCTTGCCTCCTTTGTCAAATATTAATTGAGCATAATGGCTTGGGTCGATTTCTGGGGTCTCTGTTCTGTTCCATTGGTCTATATGCCCACTCTGTGCCAGTACCAGGCTGTTTTGATTATGGTGGCTGTGTAGTATAACTTGAAATCTGGTATTGTGATTCCTCCAACTTTGTTTTTCTTTCTCAAGATTGCTGCAGTTATTTGGGGGCTTTTTTATTCCATTTAATTTTTGGAGTATTTGTTCTAGCTCTGTGAAGTATGCTGTTCGTATTTTAATAGAGATTGCATTGAATCTGTAGATTGTCTTGGGTAGTATGGACATTTTAATGATGTTGATGCTACCAATCCATGTATACAGTATATTCTTCCACTTGTTTATATCTTCTATCTTTTTTTCAACATCCTTTTGTTTTCTGAGAACAGGTCTTTTACCTCCTTGGTTAAGTTTATTCCTAAGTATCTTAATTTTTTTTTTGCAGTGGAAAATGGGATTTTTTTTTTTTTAGTTTCTCTAAGAATTCATTTTTGGTGTATAAAAAAGCCATCAATTTTGGGGTGTTGATTTTGTATCCTCCTACATTGCCAAATTCATTTATTAAGTATAGTAGTTTTTTGGTGGATTTTTTAGGGTTTTCTATGTACAATATCATATCATTTGCGAATAATGAGAATTTTACTTCCTCCTTTCCAATTTGGATGTCTTTTATTTCTTCTTCTTGTTTGATCGCCGTGGCTAGGACTTCCAGTACTATGTTGAATAAGCATGGTGAAAGTGGACATCCCTGTCTTATTCCTTTTCTTAGGGGAAATGGTTTTAGTTTTTGCCTGTTGAGTATGCTGTTGGCTGATAGGTTTGTCATATATGGCCTTTATCATGTTGAGATAAGCTCCCTCTATTCACACTTTGCTGAGGGTTTTTCCAAAATGGGTGTTGGGCCCTAGCCAGTTTGGCTCAGTGGATAAAGCGTCGGCCTGTGGACTGAAGGGTCCTGGGTTTGATTCTGGTCAAGGGCACATACCTGGGTTTTCGGGCTTGATCCCCAGTAAGGGGTGTACAGGAGGAGTCAATCAATGATTCTCTCTCATCGCCCATAGTTCTTACAGCCCATAGGGACTTCTTTCCCCAGCTCTGGGACCCTGGGTTGGGGGTCTGGTATGGGGCTGGGATCCCTTGCTCCTCCAGGCGGCCTCTGCAGAGGCAGTCTCCCTCCTGATTAAAGAAGCGGCACACCCAGGTGCTGGACCAGCCCATTCCGGGCCTCCGCACCTCCTACCAGTCTCAATGTGCTTTCTTCTTTACCTCTCTAGTTGTAGTACTTCCACTCAGCCAGTTTTCCTGCGGTTCTCGATGATAGTTGTTCTGTATTTTGGTTGTAATTTTGATGTGGTTGTGGAAGGCAGCAAGTATAGGCATTTACCTATGCCGCCATCTTGGTTCTCTAATGGCCTTCATTTTGAAGTCTGTTGGATATGAGTATTGCTACTTCAGCTATTTTTTCTTTGCCATTTGCATGGAAATTTTTTTTCCATTCCTTCACTCTCATCCTGTGTGTGTCTTTTGTTCTGAGGTGGATCTCTTGTAGACAGTATATATATATTGCATCATGTTTTTGTATCCATTCACCTACCCTATATCTTTTGATTGGAACATTTAATCCATTTACACTTAAGGTTATTATTGGTAGGTATTTGTTTATTGCCATTTTAATTCTGTATGTCTAGTTTTCTCTCTCTATTTCTTCTTCGCATTACAGCAGTCCCTTTAACATTTCTTGTAATGCTGGCTTAGTGGTGATGAACTCCTTTAGCCTTTTTTTTTTTTTTTTTTGTCCAGGAAACTCTTTATGACCATCTATTTTGAATGATAGCCTTGCTGGATATAATAATCTTGGTTTCAGATCCTTGCTTTCCATTACCTTGAGTAGTTCATGTCATTCCCTTCTGGCCTGTAGAGTTTCTGATGAGAAGTCACGTGTCAGCTTTATGGGAACTCCTTTGTAGGTAACAGTTTTCTTTTTTCTTGCTGCCTTTAAGATCCTCTCTTTGTCTGTAATTTTTGGCATTTTAATTATGATGTGTCTGGGTGTGGGCCTGTTGGGGTTCTTCTTGCTTGGGGTCCTCTGTGCCTCCTGTATTTGTGTGACTTTTTCCTTTACCAGGTTAGGGAAGTTTTCTGCTATTATTTCTTCAAACACATTCTCTATCCCTTTCTCCCTTTCTGCCTCTTCTGGCACACCTGCTATTCTAATATTGTTACATTTCACATTGTACCACAGCTCCCTTAAGCTGTCCTGTTTTTTAATTGTTTATTCTTTTTGGTACTCTGTGATTTTTTCAACCCTGTCTTCTAATTCACTGATTCAGTCCTCAGCTTCCCCTAATCTGCTGTGTATTCCTTCCAATGTGTTCTTTATTTGTGCTATCTCATTCTTTTTTTCTAACTGTTCTTTTTTCATAGTTGCTATATCTTTTCTCATACTGTTGAGCATCTTTACCATCATTATTCTGAAGTCTGTTTCAGATAAATTTCTTATCTCCATTTCATTTTTATCTCTTCTTCTGGAGAATCTTGTTCTTTTTTCATTTGTGGGTTGTCTCTTTGTTTCCTCATTTTGGTACCTGTTTGGGTTTGTGACTATGTATTAGGTAGATCTGCTACACCTCTCAATCTCTAGTGCAGGACGGTGTCGAATATTGTTTCTGACTAATTAGATCAGGCAAAGACTCAAAGTCTCCAGAGACTGCCTCTGGCTGCAGACTGATAGGATTCCTCTTGATGTGCCCTCAGGCAATCATCCGCCGATGTGGCAAGTTTTTTTCAGCCGGATGGGGTAATTGTTTCTGCCTGGAGGCTAATTGTTATTCTCAGTCTTGTAAGGGGCAAGGTTCTTTCCAATAGAGTGGGTCAGCTGTCTTCCCCCTGGGCAACGCTGTATGCGATCACCTGCTTGAGAAAGATTTCCTCTGCTGTGTGAGGGAATGGCTCAGCACAAGAAACTGGGGTGTCTGCCTTCTGATCCAGAACCTTTGATCCTGGTGTCTGCTCACCCAGCTCCATCCACTCTGCTGTTCCTCTGTTGGAGCACAAGATGGTTGGCTCCACAGGAACTTTTATGCATTGGCCCTTTAAGAGGGTGCCTGAATTTCCAGCCATCTCTCTCTGGCAGACAGCTACCCCAATGTTTTTCACAGACAGATCTTATGTGGATACCCTTCTCAGTTCTGGTGTTCTCTGCCGTGGGGCCCACCTCGGGAATTAGACCCCAGAGTTCTCAGTGGCAACCCCCACAGCTGAGATTTCTCTCCAGAACTTCAGCTGCTGCCTATGGGGGCTTGGTCAGCCCTTTCTGCCTCTCCTACCAGCCTCTATGCCGTCTCCACTTTTCGTTCTCGGTTATCAGGGTTCTCCAACGTGTCTCCATTGATTATTCAGTAAGTTTTTCTGTATTTTAGTTGTAATTCCAGTTTGGATCTATGAGCATGTCTGTGCAGCATCCATTTACTCCATTTTTAATTTCCTGCCCTTGTGTTTTTGTTATTAGCTTCTGCTGTCCATTTAAAAGGCAAGACAGACCCTAAGCTTTCAGAAACAGTACTTGTTTCTTATCTATTAGGTGAAGGAAGCAATTGTGTAAGCAAAGTCACTTGGGGAAGCTCAGTGCAGTTGATAGGGTGTAAGTGAAGGTGAATGTGGATTGGCAGTGGCAGGAGGAGCAGCAGACCTTGTTTGAAGGATGAGATTCAGGAGGAAGGTGGCGACTTTGGAATCAAACTATGGGGAGCCACAAGTGTCAGTCACTAGTGAATTGTAGGTGTAGGGTTCCTCTGAAGTGTCATGAGAAAGGTGACTTTTAGAAAGATTAGTGCTGCATCATTGTGTGGGATGCCTGGCAATTTAAAGATGAATTAGATTTGCACAAGGTAGTTCCATAAGCAAGGCAAAGGTGATGAAACCACAGAATGAGAACAGAGAAGTGAAGAATGTCAGCAAGCATTCCCTAAATAGAGGGAATAAATGAGACAAATAAATGAAAGGTGACTCTAGGAAAAACTAGTTCCCTCCCCCAAACA